TATATATATATATATATATATAATTTTTTTACTGTGATAGCAAATCATCGTAGGGAAGTCCACACAAAGCGATCAACTGGTAAAAGTTGAAAGACATATGTCGCGGTTCAAATATACGCATTAAAAATAAAAATTCGCACAAGGGCCGCGATCGTTCACTCTTTCATAAGATACTTATCAACTTCTGGTTCCAAGATGTAGTAACCGATTAGCGTACCGAAGCAGTAAACATAAGGTACAAACCGACAATCACAATCTATGTGAAATAGACGTCGTATTCACAGTATAGAACAATCCATATATTCATTTTGTGTTTATAAAAATCATCGCCGACGACACGGACAAGTCCACAACTGTTGTCTTTCTGTATATCCCGATGGAACAGAACCAACAGACCGTTGATGATAGAAGTATAATATGTAGCGCCAAACAAATATTTGATTTGACTACCCTCATGGGTGAGACCGTTAAGACTTTAGGTACTGTGTCTGCTAATCTGCTCTCGCACTCTCCTTTTTAGTAAGTTAGTCTGTATTTTTCTCTCTCGCGCGCCTCACACACTCTCTCTACCAGCAGAGAGAGAGTACATAGTAAATACATATTTAGTGATAGAGTCGTGGAGAGTGATCTATAATCTCTACCGGGGTCCTCTAGAGAGTGTCTCGTTGAGTCATTGTACCCCTGTCTTTCTTTTTTGGATCTGTTGTTTTTTTTTATGATTGCATATAGGCTTTCAGTTTCTCTCGCCCTGGTGCAATCGCCTATAGATCACCCTCTAAATGACCCCGACTTTGGGTGAGCATGGAACACGAACCAGTGATCCGATTTGAACGCTAGATAGCGGAAATTGCTTAGAATAATTAGGACAAGTAAATCACCCGGACAAATTTTTGAAATTTTGGTTTGTTCACAAAATAAATTTTGAAAAATCCCAACAACAAAAAAATTGGCCGCATATACCAGAGGACCCTTCCAGTCCGAAATATAGACTTTTGAGGGCAGAAATCGACTTGCCGCATCGTTTACAAGATCGTTCGAAATGTCAGAACCATAAAAAGTTAAAAATTATGTGTAGAAAAGGCCATTTTTGTACAAAATTTTACACACCTGAGCCACTATGGACCACAGGATACAAAGTTACACACATAAGTACGGCAGGTATATGCATTAAGACACAACATGTCGAATCAGCGGGAGTGATCCAAACACTTGACTGGTGGACGTGGGTCTAGGCATGCTCTGCGTGACGCGTATTGCCGATTCACGTCAAACATCAGTTTGTATCATCCATCTTTTAAACAACTGCTTGTGTTTTTGTTTTTCAAGTGTATAATATTTTCTAAAGAGCACCATACACCTGTTTCATAAACATTTGGCCGAGCTAACACTGCAACTTTGGCCGCCCAGTTTTCAATTTTGGCCGCCAAGTTCTGGATTTTGGCCATAGCATTTAAGACACCCATCACAAAATATTTGGCCGATTTGTTTTTTTATGGATATGGCTTCTTTAGCTCATTGCCGACCCCGCTGGACAAATCTTAGGTCAAAATTACAATTATAATTTGAAAAATAATTTTAGAGGGTGAACTATACGCGATTGCACCATATGAACTTCTTTAGAATCTAAATTAGAGCCGGACGAACACTACGAGATACGACCAGGTCGTAACCAGGCTGGTGATTGTCTGAGTGTGAGGCACTGAGGAGTCGGACTGGAGTGAGGCTGCTGGTTGTGAGCTTGTGAGCGTCGGACTGAGCTCTGAGGAGTGAGGTCCCTGAGTAATAATGGACCGAATTTGGATTTATTAGAGTGGCACCGGGACCAGTCACGACTCATCAGTACACTCACCAGCCTGGGGCCAAGTGGTCAGTGGCCGGGACCGCCGGCCGCCGGACCACCCGGACGTCCACAAGTTTTTTTTTGCTTGATGTTTTTTATTTCTACAAATACAAAGAACATATGTTTTTTTTTAGAAAAGATATGATGGTAAAGATATATTTATGTTTTAAGTTTTAGGGTAAATATGCTGAATTGCTGACTATGCTCACTATGCTGGTTGCCTCTGAGTCTGGAACTCTGGGGCCTGGGGCCCGTGGGGCCTGGGCCGACTCTGGGCCCTGGCCCCTGGCCCCAGGCCCCTGGGGCTGGTGTATTTATTTATGCACAGCCGCACAGGTGCAGTGCCCGACTGCCAGACCCAGTCTGTGCCTCAGTGCAGTGGTGCTGTTGGCAGTTGTGGTTTTTAAATTTATTTTTTTGTCATATTTATTCCAAAAGTTTCTGTGGGAAGGAAGAAGTAAAAATATTTACTATTTACTCGCATATATACTCTTCACTCTTATTCAGACCCCTTTGGCCCGATCAAGTGTATTTACTTTTTTACTATATTCTATTTTGTAAAAAGAAAAACAGAAGAAAAAAACATTTAGACAGTATTGATTTGATTATTCCATATAGGGAGGAGGATATCAGTTACACTTACACCACTCAGGGATTTGTGGTATTTATATATAAATGCAAGACAGAGTTGTATTGAATAAGTAATTTGTGCCCTACTTTTAAATACAGATACACATTTGAACAATGGGATTAAGACGATCTGACAGTGAGACGAGAGCGCGTTTAGGCAAACTCATAGTTGGAGCAGCTGTGCTAGGTGGTAACCAGGCCGCTGAGAATGCAGTTAAATCCAAACTCATCAATGGGGTACTTGCCAGTGATTCCAAGATTGCAAAAGGGTTGGTCGTGGCTGCTGCCGCAGACGACAACTACATAGCACAGGCGGCATTGACTAATAAGGCGCTTCAGAGTGAGAGTAAAGCGGCGAAAGCTGTTGTTGGGGTGGCGATGCTGGATGACGACAATGCAGGTGTGCAGAACGTCGTTATGTCGCACACAATAAACAAAGCAATGAATAGTGATTCAAAACTAGCCAAGGGAGCGGTCGTGGTTGCAGCAGTGGACGATAACTATCAAGCTCAGTCGGCGTTAGCCCACAAAGCTGTAAACAGTGAAAGTAAAGTGGCCAAGACTATGGTGGTTGCTGCTGCGGTTAACGACGGAGCAGCAGCCGAGAATGCCATCATGAGTAAGACCGCCCACGTTGCCATGACAACAGATAGCAAGTTGGCAAAAACCGTGGTGGCTGGGGCGGCATTAAACGATAACTATATCGCACAGAGTGCTATTGTTCACAACCTATTGGAGGATGGACCGAGCGGTGCTTCCATGATGGCGGTGGCTGGCAACGGAGGAGATGAGGACCAGACACAGGTCATGGATGCGGACTTTAAGGACATGAAGTTATCTACCGCAAAGAAAGCTGATACGCAAACAGCAAGTGATAGCAGCCCATTGCCTTCCCATTCAAATGTGAACATGTACGCACCCGAGCCATACTACCTGGTACGGCCACACATGACTGTGTTTCCACCCCCTGTGTTTAGCCAACACGTTCAGTATCCGCCTACAACTGCATACTATCCACCCCCAGTATACTGAGCTAAAGGCGGTGCCCGATGGGAAATACGAGTGTGACCTATCATTGAGGGTAAACTAGAAATCTGAATGACAGGTGATTGCATCAGCTACTAACACAGTAGACTTTGCCACATACAGATGGACGGCGAAGACCAATGTGCATATTGTCAGGGTCCCATGCAGTGGTGGTAAAACTAGTATAAGCCATATAGTACAATACACCCGGCAAATAATATTAATACATGCTCCTCCCACACATCCAGTGCGCCAACAAACTCTGCGCTAGTCTAGCGCTACATCCGGGAGAGTCGCTAATTTCCTCATTGTTTCTCGCAGCGATAGTATCGAATATCGCAGTGCTATTATGAACCATATATGGAGGCTTGAGCGTAAAGGGTGAGCTGTTGATGTGATAGGCTGAGAAATCAATCTGCATCAGTGATGATTAACGCGATCATTTAATTGCAAGGGGTTAGGAACTCTCCGGAGGTCATAAACGAGATTCCGACTACGTATAAATCTGTGGCATTGAGAATAAATGCTTAACCGTGTTCAACTATGATGCTCAAATAGTAAACCATTCACAATTCTTTTTAATTTTTGTTGAAGAGTAGTAATATCGATCACGATAAAGTATGAGGGTTCTGCTAAGCAGTGCTGAGCATATTAAGTTCATCTAGAGTTTGATTTCTAGATTCACCCAGTCTCCATAATCATTCGAGTGTCTACCCACTACTTTCCATCCCTTCTTGTCAAAAAAAGCGAGCATACCCTTATTGATTGGCCACGTGCTCGCAGTGACCTTGTCTAAACCCTTACTCCTGGCCCAGGCAATGCATCCCTCGTACACTTCATCACATACACCCTTTCTCTGCCACTTACTACTTACTATGATTCCCCACTCAGCCCATTTCTCATCCAGATGCATCTCGCGGAACCCAGATGACGCCATATACTCCCCACTTTCCCTGTGAACAACATCGAAGAAGGCGCCCTCCCCAGCCAAACACTGCGACCGATGAGTGCATCTGCGCCTGCTGAAGGCATCGTTGTCTTTGGCAAGTGTATGCAGAAAAGGAATATATTGGGTCACCTTCTCGTCGAGAAGAAGGTCTCGATTCTCCTGGTCATACGCTTCGATTGGCATGTACAGATCGAAGCGATCAGTCTCCTGCACGGGCCCAGTTGGTACCGACATATATGGTATTTGTACTGTTTGTAATTACAGATTTGTACATCATGAAGTGTATAAATATTACAGTTTGTCCTAGCCCTAGATCTGAAAATACGACGGGGGGGGGGGGGGGATAAAGCAACCAGTTATATGAGCACTCAATTGCAATGACTCATCGGTTGTATTGTTCGAAGGTCGCATATTAATTACCGACGGGGTATTGAAGGGATATTTATATGGCATTATGCCTATCAAATATATATGAGTTATAATATGAAATATTTTATATAGAAATATTTATAACCACAAGACGATGTCCTGCGGATGGCGCCGTTTGAGGCTTTCTTCGAAAAAATCTGTAGCTCTTTTATGTGGCCAGTGAATGTGCACAATATTGTACAAATGATAAATCTAAAGCAACGAGTATGTGAATGAACAGTTCGGATAGCCAAAATATCAGTAGCGTATACGACGTCTCAAGTCTATACTACTTATCGATATAAGACACGATAAATCGTGTCAACACAGCAGAGATAAAAATGGTGTCAAACGGCGACCTTGATCGGTACGTGTGTCTGTGTACAAGGGAGTTGGCGGGCGTTCAAGTATTCAAGCAGTGCAACAAAGTAGAGCTGCTAGTATCTAATGCAGGTTGAAGCACACATTGGAACGTCTATATGAACATATTCACCAATACATGCACGTATACCTAGTTCATACGTATATATACATACGATAAACATACATTAAACACACAAAAACAGAAATACACACACACGCACACTCGTATATTCACACACACGCACACTCGTATATTCACACATGTACACACACGCGCGCACACACTTGCACACCACGTACAGACGCGCACACACGCCTACACACACACACCCACCCAAACACACACACACGCACAGGCTCACTCATATATATA